TAATAAAATTGAGGTGTATTAAGCATGCTGAAGCTCTAAGTCAGAAATATCAGGATTTAAGTCCTCATATCTGTGTGCCAGGGAAACACACACAAAATCATGGATGTTCACACAATGCACGTGTTTTTAGGCTATATACTTGGATAACGCCCTGGAGGAGGGTGAAATGCGTCGGTTCCAGTGGGGGTGTGGCAACGTCACTTCCGGTGAGTGGAACGCACGCTAGTTTGCAGCGTTCCAGAGTGATTTCCTGCTATTTGGAAGGGATTTCTATCCATCTTTGCCAGTCCACTTCTACAAATGATACAATCCTTATAATATGAGCCTTTGTGCCTATTATGAAAGCCTGAATACTATTTTAAACGTGTGAGTGCATAGAAGGCAGCCTCTTTTAAAAATTAAAGCTTTTTTACAGTATTGCACTATTTGTTGTTTTTTGTTTTGTTTTCCATCGTCATCTAATCGTGGGAGTCGTTACTGGAGGATATTGAGTACAGAGTTATCTGGGAGGACATGCCCCAGTCACTTTAAGCTTGTTTGACTCTTCTGCCATATCAGCAAAGAGTCCACCCCATCTGGTGAGTGGGAATAAAGCATTAATCACGGATGGTGTGAGCACATTTTTGGAGCACGTTTCTTTTTGGGATTGAGCACAATTTTATATATATTTTTTGTGTGGACTTTAGATATTTTTTTGGACTTTTATTATAGTATGTTTCATTTTCACATATAATTTATTTGCGCTGTGGAGTGTTTATAATTTTATAGACTTGAATTGGCTGCCTGCATGCAGCTCCTGGCTGCTCAGGTCACATAAACACACGCCTCATTCATGGATTATGGGCATCTGTGTGAAACAGGCCTAACTATAGGTGCACTGTGATGCCATTCATTCTTAACAGTGCTGTAAAGCACCTTCCTAATGCATGTGCATTTTAGTGCACTACAGTGCATTGTAACTGATTACCATGCGGTTTAGTGCACAGCATTAAAAAAAATTGCATACACTTCGTTTTTGCCCTTATTTGCACAGAACTTTAGGATTGTAGTACTTGTAGAGTATTAACGGCTTGTTGAGACCACTGTAATGCTTTTTTTATTTCAACCGCTTCGGCATCGCCCTATAGCAGAAATACTGGGTACGCAAAATCATGTATATGTACATGATTTTGCAGTTCTGGGTAGGGAACCTGCCCTGCCATTCGTGGCCTTGGCTATCAATCACCAGGTCCCAGCCGTTGATTCCCGCCGGCACCTGGCAATCTCCGAGGATTTCTGACCGGGGAGAGACCTGTGTGTAGACAATACAGATCTCTCCACTGTCAGCTCCTGCAGACTGCTTTGTATGGCTCTGTATAGCAGAGCCATACAAAGCAGTGTGCTTACAGTGAAACACACACACACAGCCCACATAGTAAAAACAGCACACAGCACACAGTTAACCCTTTGATCGCTCCACATGTTAGCCCCTTCCTGCCCAGTGCCATTAGTACAGTGTCAGTGCTTTTTATTAGCACTGATCACTGTATTGGTGTCACTGGGGATGTCAGTGACACCAAGTCAGTTCCCCCCAGTGTCAGAATGCCCGCCACAGTCCCGCTATAAGTTGCTGATCGCCATCATTGCTAGAAAAAAAAACAATTCCAGTATCTATACCGCCATTTGTAAATGCTATAACTTTCACATAAACCAGCATTTTTTTGGCCTAAATTTATGATGAAACTTGATTTTTTACATTTTTTTACTGGACATGTTTTTTAGCAAAAAGTAAAAAATATAGGGTTTTTTTTCAAAATTCTCGCTCTTTTTTTGTTTATAGAGCAACATAAAAACCACACAGGCAATAAAATACCACTGAAAGAAAGCTCTATTTGTGGGAAAAAAAGGTTGTACCTTTCATTTGGGCACAGCGTTGCATGACTGCGCAATTGTCAGTTAAAATGATGCAGCGCTGTAACGTAAAAAATGGCCTGGTCAGGAGGGCAAGTGGATAATTAAAACTATATTTGTTTTTAGTTTTATACTGTATATTTACTCAATGTAAAAATTAATTTTGATCAGCATTATAGGAAACTTGGAGATGAAAGAAACTAAAATAACCTTTTTTTTTTCATTTTTCAAAGTAAATCATGGATATCCAAGCAACATCTGAATTAAGCCTCATACGTGTGTGCTAGATGTGGCAACCATTATGCTGATTCTGCTCTTTCTATGTCTCCCATTACTCCCTCTGATGCAGCCAACCCCTGGTTGGCAATGGTGTCTGCGTGGTGGATGACACCCTATGTTAATTATGCGTCGATTGTCTGGTGAATGGAAACTCTAACGATAAAACATGGTCAGTTAAACATATCAAGGATAGTTTTTCATTTTATCTGTTTAATAAGTGCAAAAAAAAAGAGAAAAACCTGTTTATCCAAGCAGAACCTGTGTGGGCTGGTAACTTCCTACACTCTGGACTGTTATCAGTTAGCATTGTTCCCAACTATCTCTGTGTTTTCTACAAACGCCTCCTCCTGTCATGTAGGTGAGAGTCCTAACAAAGTGTAATGTAGTCCTAACACACTTCCTTCCCTAGGGTGACAACGCTGCTCAGTACGGTTGTCACCCTAGGACAGAAAGTGAGTTAATGGCAGGATTACTAGGTTAAAACTAAGGAAAAAAGGGTGAAAAAGAAAACAAATGCAGTTGTCACATCTGAGGACCGGTAAGCTGCAATACTATTTAATTTTTTTCTTGGGTTTAGATACGCTTAAAGGATCTATCCGTTTCAGGTCATCATAGCAACTAACCATTTTCAAACTGTGATATCAGGCTAAGCGAGATATACAGGCGAAAAATTAGAATATCATGCAAAAGTTCATTTATTTCAGTAATGCAACTTAAAAGGTGAAACTAATATATGAGATAGACTCATTACATGCAAAGCAAGATAGTTCAAGCCGTGATTTGTCATAATTGTGATGATTATGGCTTACAGCTCTTGAAAACCCCAAATCCACAATCTCAGAAAATTAGAATATTGTGAAAAGGTGCAATATTCTAGGCTCAAAGTGTCCCACTCTAATCAGCTAATTAAGCCATAATACCTGCAAAGGGTTCCTGAGCCTTTAAATGGTCTCTCAGTCTGGTTCAGTAGGAATCACAATCATGGGAAAGACTGCTGACCTGACAGTTGTGCAGAAAACCATCATTGACACCCTCCATAAGGAGGGAAAGCCTCAAAAGGTAATTGCAAAAGAAGTTGGATGTTCCCAACTTATGTATCAAAGCATATTAATAGAAAGTTATGTGGAAGGGAAAAGTGTGGAAGAAAAAGGTGCACAAGCAGCAGGTGATGACCGCAGCCTGGAGAGGATTGTCAGGAAAAGGCCGTTCAAAAGTGTTGGGGACTTTCACAAGGAGTGGACTGAGGCTGGAGTCAGTGCATCAAGAGCCACCACACACAGACGGATCCTGGGCATGGGCTTCAAATGTCGTATTCCTCTTGTCAAGCTGCTCCTGAACAACAAACAACGTCAGAAGCGTCTTACCTGGGATAAAGAGAAACAGACCTGGTCTGTTGCTCAGTGGTCCAAAGTCCACTTTTCTGATGAGAGCAACTTTTGCTCTCATCAGAAAGGACCCAGAGTATGGAGGAAGAATGGATAGGCACACACTGCAAGATGCTTGAAGTCCAGTGTGAAGTTTCCACAGTCTGTGTTGATTTGGGGAGCCATGTCATCTGCTAGTGTTGGTCCACTGTGCGTCATTAAGTCCAGGGTCAACGCAGCCGTCTACCAGGAGATTTTGGAGCACTTCATTCTTCCTTCCATAGACGAGCTTTATTGGGATGCTGACTTCATTTTCCAGCCGGACTTGGCATCTGCCCACACTGCCAAAAGCACCAAAACCTGGTTCAATGACCGTGGGATTACTGTGCTTGATTGGCCAGCAAACTCGCCTGACCTGAACAGCATAGAGAATCTATGGGGCATTGCCAAGAGAAAGATGAGAGACATGAGACCGAACAATGCAGAAGAGCTGAAGGCCGCTATTGAAGCATCCTGGTCTTCCATAACACCTCAGCAGTGCCACAGGCTGATAGCTTCCATGCCATGCCACATTGAGGCATAAGGGGCCCAAACCAAGTACTGAGTACATATGCATGCTTATACTTTTCAGAGGTCCAATATTGTTCTTTCACAATTATGACAAATCACGTCTTGAACTATCTTGCTTTGCATGTAATGAGTCTATCTCATATATTAGTTTCAACTTTTAAGTTGCATTACTGAAATAAATGAACTTTTGCACGATATTCTAATTTTTCGAGTTTCACCTGTAGAATATACTGTAATTTTGCGGTTTTATTTCATGTTTTACTTTATGCCTACTGAACACCAAGTGCCACAACAATCTCTAGGCCCTAAAGTAACAGATTAACTAAGATTAAAGGAGAAGTAGAGACAAAGCTCTTCTGGCCCCACTGTGGATCACAGGAGTGCACTTCATTCTCCACTCACGTGACCTGTATACAGCTAACAGTGGACTAAAGTTCGTTGTCAACTGATGTCACACAGGCAGTCCACACTCTAGAGGGATCCCGAATTTAATATCGGGATCCACCCAGATGCTTGACCGGCAGCAGGCTCAGCCTCTTGGCATGTTGCTGAGAGTCTGAGCTAGCTGCTCTGGCCCGCTCCACAGCCCAGCAATCCAGTGAGCACTGGAGGGGCAGATCAGAAGCCACCAGCATTCTACTCACTGAAAACAGAGAACATAGTGATCAGCAGCCTTTGATCATTTAGTTCTTTGTCATAGAGATGGTGGGGGACAGATGCAGCATCGTAATGATGTTGCATCCATCTAGGTGAGTACAATTGTTTGTTTGTTGTTAAAATCTCATACTTCTCTTTTCACTGATCAGTGTTGGTCTTGAACTGAGAGCTTTGGCACTCCAGGCCATCATGTAATGATACAAATAAAACAAATAACATTGCTAATATATTATTTTACAGGTGACTATTATATGGTTAAAAAGCTCCTGGAGGGGAAAACAGTTCCGACGAGCTGAATATTAATTCAGTGGATGTCTTAGGAAGAAATGCTATTACAATTTCTATTGAGAATGAGAACTTGGATATACTACAACTTCTTCTAGATCATGGCTGCCAGGTACATTCCAAAGTTGTATATGTTGTCTATGAAATAAAAGGTTTTTACTTCCATTTGTCTTGGCAGTGGTTTACACATTCTCTTATCTATCCATGTAAACGTTCAGTATTGTTTTAAAAGAAAGTCTAGCAAATTTTGATGAATATTTATATTAGACATAGTTGAAAAAATGCACAACTAGACAGTTATGTACTGTATATCTTTTTTTTTTTTTTTTCAATCGAGCACTTTTTTATTGAAAAATATAGTCAGCACACAGCAGTAAATAACATGTTCCACAATGTTCCATAGCTCCATATATAGGAGAAAGCATGTGTGCGTACATAAACCAACTGATCAAAATACTTGTTATGGAACAAAATGTATAGAGCAATGTCAAACACAAAAACCACATAAAAACATCTGCTGGAATAACGCCTTTGGTAATAATAAAATTCTACAGAATCCAAACAGCTGAATTGGACATGAAAAATTACTTTGAGGGGAGGGCTATGCTTGTAGTCACTTATGAGGAGTGAGTTGCGGAGGGGTGAGCCCTGGGGTATCTAACCAGCATTTCCAAACAGTCTCAAATATTTTTGGAAAATGTCTCCTTCGATAAGTATTTCTCTCATTAATTCACTTGTTCTATCAATTTATTACATATAGGGGGATTAGGAGAAAGCCAGGAGTTAGCTATTAATTTCCTAGCCAGGTACAAATGACGGGTTAAAGAATGTATACTTTAGGTGTATACAGATCTGCATCTAAAGCTCTGAGCAGACAAACTGTGGGTTCAAATGGAATTTGGAGGAGATCTCCATGATCAGTAACACACTTAGGACATAATAGGGATTCTCTCTATAAACAGTTGAGATAATCTTTGAGCTGCTGATACAGATACTACAGGTATAGAGGTCAGTACTAGTTCCTGTTAGTTGCCGTCTATCCTATGTCCTGCTCCCATTTATTTCTACAGGGCAAATGTGTAGAGTCCTGTAGCAGTGATAAGAGATCAGAATACAAATGAGAATTTATACCTTTCCTATAGGAAACTGCCATAGAGGCTGTGATAAACCGGGGCTCCACTATTTGAAGGGTAGAACATCTAGACTGGGCAAGAAGTGCATGGCATGATTGCAGCTATTAGTAGAAAGATTGATGAGGGCTATGGAATTCCAACTGAAGCATAGCAAAGGATTTAAGTACATTGCCAAGATATAACTGAGAAATAAATGTAACCCCCCCTCAGGCAAGTCACATTTGGAAACCAGTTAATTTTTCCAACTCTAAATAATTTCGGTTTCACCATATGGGAAAGCACTGTAGATGCTGTATATCTTTCTACATCTGAAAATTTTGCAGATCATAAAAGTTATTCTATATAAATGCCAGGATATTGACTTTACTTTATAATATATGTTTCTTTTTATATTTCTGCACTTTTTTTTACACTACCTACTACTTAGGTGGAAGCTTCTTGTTCCAAATATTCACTCCTATGTGCTGCAGTTTGTTTTAATGTACATTGTACAATCTGTCATGAAACCTTTAAGGGCCTATTTAAATTTATGCATTGTGGCCACACGAGCCAAAAAGCACACAATACCACACGTTGCCACAACACACAACAGTATACTCTAGCTCCATATATAATACATTTCCAGTTTTGGGAATCAAGACGCAAAGGGATTTTACAAAAATATCAAGAAAAATACTTAGTTACACTGAATGGAAAGACCTGGATCAGCTCTGCTAAACATAAATAAGTAAAACTTTTGCCCTGGTATGTTAATATAATCATTACTCTCAATCAATGGTGAAAGTTCCTATTTTTACATGTTTAGCAGAGCTGCTCCAGAGCTTTTCATTCGGTTTAATTAAGTGTTTTTCTTGCTATTTTTGTATAATCCATGTGCTTCTTGTTTTTGATTGTCTTTTTTATGTATGTCCACATTCTGAATCTGGTGGTTTTTTGATTATTAAACAATGGCATAGGAGTATGGGCAGAAAAGCTTCCAGCACATCAGTCTTGGCACCAATGAATTGTATATGAGTGTATTTTATTTTCTGCCATAGAATATTTTTACCAAAATGTGTGTCAGCCAACCTGTATGTTTTTGGGTTTCAACATAACAATATTCTAGCTCAAAATGCAACTCTTAATACTTACCCGCAACTCATAACCTTTACTGTGGCATAACTCCTAATCCTAAATTAAATTAATTTCATCCCCTAACTTTAATGCTCAATCTAACCCCTAACCCAAAACTTCAATTATATACTGTATGTTGTATGTTGTAACAATAACCTACAACAAAACACCATAAACAAAGCTCATCCCTCTACCTTAACTTCAAAATCAAAAGTGGAATTCCAACCATAATGTTTTTAAAATATTGGAGCTTTAGGAAAGGTTAAAGCCTTTGTGAGGTTCCCATGTTTGTCTGTGTCTTTACAACAGTAAATGATGGAATGAATGGAAATCTGTACAAAGTGAGCGGAGACCCTACCTTTGGCAGCTGTCACCAAACCACAGATCCCTAGTTGAAGATTTTCTGTCTGTTCCTGTTTCAGTGACAACTGTATAATGTTTGGGTTTCTGCTAAATATCTGTCTCCTTGACATTGGTCGCCAGTGGAGACAAAGGCAGAAAAAAAGACCTGACAGGGAATTCAACTGTTTCGAGCTACAGTATGGTCATACATCATCCACATTCATACAGGCTTGTAGAAGTCATTTCTAAGTCATATTCTGTTGTTTTTCTGCTCTATTCCTCATTGTGGCTTACGCTATCTGTTCATCATTCACCATTGTCTTCTCTTTCCACAAGTGCTACCATTCTGGGGGTTGCAGGGCTTCTCCTATTCTGAGTCCTGACGATGTCAGGTCTCTAGAGTTCAAGCGTCAGGGCTGTTTGGTAAGTTATAGATGGCTGTTCATTCTACTTGCAATTGGAGCCAGACTTTTTTGTTGGTCCCAATCCTTGTTATCTTGGCTCTACAAGGTAGGCAGGGCTATTTACAAAATCCATATACAGAAAAAGTAGCAATTTGCTGGTTGGTATCACCACCATAACAGGTTGGTAGAGGAGTCACTCATAAAGATGAATGTAGACAAACTAGGCGGTACTACAGCTCTCTACTAATACAATGAGTGGTGGGATAATGTCTGAAACAACACAAAAGGAGAGAGAGCGCACAGCCGCCCTCTCGGTGGTGCCTCCCATCTGGATCATCTTACAGTGGTCATCCAGGAGAGTCTTTGTAGAATGTTGACCTGCTCATCTTTACTCTGGTGGAATGTGAGTGTATTGGGTGAAGGTTTTATTGTTGCTTTTAATAAAACTTTATTGCTCTAGGGCAGTTGTGCAACTTCTCTCCTTTTGTGTTGTTTCAGGACTGTTTACAGGTATTTATGTTTTCTTCCAAAGTCTCAAGTCTCACTTTATGCAAGCAAGAATACAATTGCTAAAACTCACCGCAGAAAAACTTTGGATTGTCCAGCTTCACTATATATGTCATAAAACCTTTCAACAAGATTGCAAGTTAAATTTTGCATTACCCTTTAAGGCAAAAAGCCTGCAAAAGTTTCATGCTGTACTGTGTGATACATTTAAGTGTATTTAGGTGCATAATAGCTAATCTCATTGTAGCTTTTACACAGGAATGTGGAAAAAAGAATAATCTGGAGCTATTCGATGTAGGCTACTGTTTATTTTATTAGAGGTACTTATATAGCAGTGTCAATTTACACAGTGCTTTACATATATATTGTACATTCACATCAGTCCCTAACCCTCAAGGGGCGTACAATCTAAATTCCCTAACTTACATTCCAACATACACATACTAGGGCCAATGTAGACATGATCCAATTAACCTACCAGCATGTCTTTGGAGTGTGGGAGGAAACCGGAGTACCTGAAGGAAACCCACGCAGGCACAGGGAGAACATGCAAACTCCAGGCAGCTGGTGCCGTGGTTGGGATTTTAACCAGTGACACTGGTACTGCCAGGAAGAAGTGCTAAGCATTTAGCCACTATGCTGCCCCACTGTTTATATATTTTTGTATGTAGCTGGTAAATGATGAGTGGCTAGGTCATTTGAAAACCATCATCAGCATTTGTTTTTAAATTATGAAAAGGATGAGCACCTAGAATAGTTTGGCTAAATAATACCACTGATTACAGGAAATGTGCAGGTAAACTGGAAACATACCTTGTTTGTAGGGTTCCTTCCTTACACAACACCTTGGTTTTACCTGAAGTCAGAAGTAAAATTTCCTGTATGACCTGCTGGTGATATTGGCATTGCATCATAAATTGTGGTGCTTTTCAATCACTACTTTTGAAGTTTCATAGTCAGACTTCAGCCTATAAGCTAAACAAAAAATGGTATGAGGCTTTGCTATTGCTTTAAAAGGTAGTGTGCATATTTAGAACCCAGCCAAAAATAAGATTTAACATTTTTGGAGATACCTTTTTAAACTAATGATGTTATATAATTTATAGGCATGAGCCTGTTTAATTTATTGTCTCCAATCTTTTCTCTCTGCTGGTGGCTATTAATATTCTGTACTGTTCAGTCCACAGATGCACTGCTGGTGGCAATTGACTCTGAAGTGGTAGGAGCTGTGGACATCCTACTTAATCATCGTCCAAAATGGTCTACAAGACCAACTATTGTGGTAAGAGCCATCTATTGCATTGCTATACACCAAGTTCTCTTAAAGCAGGCATGTCAAATACAAATAAAACAGTGAGCTACATTAAGTGGTCTTCAAGGGCTCATATGATTTCTACTGAGGGCCACACCTGCTTATTTCTATAAAAATGTATGGTACTTTGGTAATTAATACTAACTTAGAACATTTTATCCCAAAATAAATGAGCTATAAAATGTTTCCTTAAGTATTCAGCTACAAAATTATGTAAAGAAGTATAGCTTTATCAGCAAGATTTTATTTTAAGGCAGAGTCCAACCTATAAGTTAAATAGCCCATGCAGTCAAGTGGCCCTAGTATATTACAAAGCACTGTGCCTTTTTTGTGATTGGCACACCTATAGGCCTCTACTGGCATCCTAAAGCCTTCCATATTGTTTACATTTGCTTGTTCCTAATAACTTCTAGAACACAGCAGAGCTGGGATGCTCATTCTCAGCACCATGGCAGCAAGCTTCTCTTTTTCAAAAGTGGACGATGCTCAGTGCAAGGCTCTTTTTCCCTGGTACATGTGCTGTACACACTCTCCAGAAGGTCAGCATTGCTGGGATACAGAAAGGGGGTGTGCACGGTTCGCCGGCAGAGGCCTACAGGTGTGCCAATCGCATTACACTGTATTTGCAAAAAAGGCACTGTGTATTCTTGCATGGGCTCTTTTACTTATAAAATGACCTTGGCCTTTAAAACTATTTCTATTCTATTCATTAAAATGGGCATGTTCCAGGTCTCCGTAGTTATAATAAAAGCTGGTCTATGTGCTGTAACTCCATGGTTTACTGCCAAGTGGTTTAAAAATGGAAAGGATTTTGTCCCCTGGGAGAACCACCACTGGACACAAGCCATAAATATAATGTCCTTCACCATGACAACAAACTGAAGGCACCATAAAAAGAATTAGTGACCAATGTTGACCTACAAGTAGTAAATCATTTTCAGTATATCAGTCATGTGCTGTACTATCCTGATATTCAACATACAAAGTAAAAAAAAAACCCAACATTTATAGTTGTCTGTACAATAGTTTATACTCCTTTTACCATCTCTTTTATATTTTAGAAACTCATGGAGCGTATACAGAACCCAGAGTATTCTACTACTATGGATGTGGCCCCTGTCATTTTAGCTGCTCACAGAAACAACTATGAGATTCTAACGATGCTTTTGAAACAAGATGTGTCCCTCCCAAAACCTCATGCTGTGGGCTGCGAGTGTACCCTGTGCACTGCTAAGAACAAGAAGGACAGTCTAAGGCACTCCAGGTCAGAACTGGCACATAGCTGCTAGAGTTCAGCATGTAAACGTTTCCTTTTAGCAGTTCCTACAACACATACACTACACAACATGTTTACAGTGCTTTTTGTGGCTTATGAATGTGGAATGTTTTGTCAAAGTCAATGTGAGGGTAATGTGTTCTTCGGTACAACAGTAGAGAGCAAAATTTTAAAAATGTTTAGGTCTATGCAAATATGTCTTCCAAACATGTAATATGATTAATATACAGGATTTATATAGTGCCAACAGTTTGCAAGAGGACAAGGAGGGCCCTGCTCATGAGATTATACAATCTAAAAGGGTGGAGCAAGAAATACAAAGGTTAGTTACTATGTGAGGTTGAGTTGTATGGAAGGTAAAATATAAGTTGTTAGATGGTGGCAGGATAGACTTTCCTAAAGAGATGAGATTTCACCTAAAAGAAAAAGTAAGAGTAAGAGGTTAGGGTAGGAAATTCCAGAGGATAGGAGAGGCTCTGGAGAAGTCCTGAAGATAAGCATGGGAGGAGGTGATGAGGGGGCTAGACAGCAGGTGGCCTTGGGAAGAGAGAAGAGGATAGTTTTGGTTGATATTTTGAGATGAGGTTGGTGGTGTAGCTTGGGGTTTGTGGATGGCTATGTATGGTATTTTTAGTATTTTTATTTGTCAGATGATCAGAAAGCAGTGGAGGGACTGGAATTGAGGGGTGGCAGGTAATGAACGGGTGTTAAGGTATATTAGTCTGGTAGACTGAAGGGGTAGGCTAATGAGAAGTTGAGGCGAGAGAGAGGAAGTGAATACGTACCTTTGTGATGTCATTGGTTATGAAGGATCATAATTTGGAAATGTTAAAGAGGTGAAGGTGACAAGATTTGGACAGTGATTGGATGTGTAGCTGAAAGTAGAGGTTAAGGTCCTGAATTACACATAGCACCATGGAATGAGGGGAGGGAAGGATAGTTCTATTGATCTTGATGGAGAATTTGGGGGAGAGGGCATAGATGACACTCAGAAGCCAAATGCTAAGATTCTAACATAGATCTGTGATTGAGTGTTCACGTTTTAAGTGTTCATCTAAATCTAGGATGGAAACATTTTTAGCTTTTGTGAGATTAAGATGTAACATATCTTTCTCATAGGAGCTTGCAAGGATGAATAAAATAAATGTATATTTCATGAACAGTCTTTTTCAATGTATTCTAGATTGAAGGAAATGTGCAGGTTCTGTTTTCAGGGGTGAATTATAAAGAAAATGTTGATAGTAGTCCTGGGTCAAATATTGCTTCTGGAAAAAAAATGATAAGAGTTAAACGTTTTTGAGTCTATTCCAATGACTGTATAAAGATGTTTTTTCATTTATATGACTAGTAGGTTGGGAATGCATTGCACATTAATAGGTTATTTATGAATTTTAATTGCCTTTGTAGGGCCCACTAGATGGGCTATTGTAATGTAAATTTATTTTTGGCTCATGGTAGTGAGTAAGCCTGAATTTCTGTGGGTTCAGTGTGAGGTCAGGCTGGGTGACTCAGAAGGTTGGGACTCTATCGCCTCCACCAGATTCTGGAGGTCCATGGTAGCTTCCATAACCCAGTGAGTGGAAGGGTGGAGAGCTCAATCTGCATATTCATGGGAGTCTAACCAATCCCAGGCTAAGAGGCCCTGGTAGTGTGGTAGACTAGCCAATAAATATGAGAACCATACTAGCAGGGAATCAGGTGAAATATGGATTGCTGAGAGGTGTTGCGGTGTTGCCTGGGAGGGAGCCCCAGAGGAGGGGGGTTCTGCTTCCAGGCTGGAGGCTGGAAGCTGAAGAGAAGCTGAAAGAGGGAGCTCCATTGCTCCACTGCTGGACAACCTGCAAAGCTTGGGGAAGAACCAGCCTAGCTGGAAGGCCTGAAAGCAGTTCTATCTACAGCTGCAGGGTAAGGACAGTGTGAATACCTCTGCACCCCCAGGGCCTAGAAGGGAGAAGTATGCTGGATGGAAGTTCTGGCAAGTCTTCAGGGGACAGTACATAGCTTACCCAATTCCTTGTCCTGGGATCAGATACCATAGCCAGGTAGAGTTGTATTATGTGCACTAAGGGGACCAAGAGCTCCTACACATTGTCGCGTTGCAAAAAATCCACTCAGAGGACACCAAGCTTCTAGATGGGGATTATTCTACTAAGGACTGTGATGGTTCCGGCTGGAATGCAGTCAACTGTTTTTTGTTTTTTTCTAAGTGTGCTAGAGCAGGAAACCTCCTCATTCTGCTGTTTCTTCAATCATATTGGGCATCCCATAACCCCTTAACCCCATCCAAGTTGTTACCACCTAATAAAACAAAAAAATCCACCAAGCCCATGAACTGTTTGCCAACAGTTGATGAAAGAGTAGAAAACGTGTGTTGCCTGGCTGTGCAGAGCTTAAGGGGGACCCAAAAACTCAAGAGTGTAACGCTACACATAAGTGATCTGGCAGCAACTTTTACTTATGGAAAAGGGCTATGACTTGAGTACTGACACTAACTAGGCAGCTTTAATTTGCTACTGTCTGTTGACATGGGAATCAGTAATAAACAAAATGTGCTGGCCGATCTGATGTTCAATGTTGATCTGATTTGGTAAAAGTGGCAGATACGATTATGTTTTCTGGATAGCGACTTACTTACTGTAGGTTATAGCGCAATGCTGCTCTTTAAGTGATCATATGAAATGCATATTATGGGAAGATTTATTTTAGAATGCATTTTATTATAATATATAATATGCAGCATTGATAAAATATCCAGTAATGGTACTGCAGCCAGCAATGGTACTCCATTTAAACATAGTCAAAATCTTCATTTAAAGGCTGAACCAATGCAACTATAAAAACAATGCAATATATTTCAGCTTATGAGTCATTTGATGTGGCTGTGTTAGTTTTCACTTTTCAGGCCAATTTCAGAAAGTACAGGAAATGCCTATTGATCTTGCCCGAAATGCAATATCCTTGTCAATTCATGTAGCCATAAAGCACAGACGGCTTTATCTTTCTTCTGTAAACTAATAATCCTATCAGCCTCTATGCATTGGAGATGAACAGAGGCAAACATATCTGAAGTCCAAAATGAAAAAATAGCCAGCACTCCATAAATACTTTTCAAAACAGAGGTGCTGGATGTATAGTGATTAAGTAGTGCTGGGTATTTCTTCACTTTGGATTCATACAATGCCACCATTGCCCACACACCCTTCTATACTGACTTTGGCTGGCAATGCTGGTGGGGATGCTGAATATTTGAAGTCCAGTCTGGGTAGCAACCATGGCTCCTACCATAGATTTAGAGGAGGAGTAAATGTATATGCACAGGGTCAGGAAGTTTGTTATACACAGGATTATCAGATGAAAATAACAGAAAAAAGCCTGAAAAATGAAAGCTAATGCAGCCACTGCACTCATAAGTGTAAATATATTAAATTTTTGCTTTTGAGTTAAAAAATATTTCAAGATAATAGACATGGTAAAAGGATGGATAATGTACAACTGTATTCTAAAACAAGCATGATTTCTTTAAGGTTTCGACTTGATATTTATCGATGTTTGGCCAGTCCAGCTTTGATTATGCTAACAGAAGAAGATCCTATATTGCGAGCATTTGAACTCAGTGCAGACTTAAAGGAGCTTAGTCTTGTAGAAGTGGAATTTAGGTAAGGAAAGTGTTAGACTATATTTTTAAATTACAGAAGAATTTCAGTCATTCTGTTGTTGAATAAAATTGTTATTGTTTAATTTGTATCATTCATGAACCTGTAATCCATATATTTGGAAAATGTATAGAGTACAATGGCTTGTATTCTAAAATTAAAAATATTGCAATATACATAAAATAGCATTAGCTGCTTGAAAATATGTACACGTGATCCAACTCATTTGTAGGGTTATTGCAAATTGTGCCACTTTCATTTCATCCATTTGCCAGATTGCTAACAAAGTTGACTGCCAGCCTCTATATTGACATTTTTGTACTTTCTGACTCTGAGATGAGTATTGCCAACCAGCATACTATGTACTTGTTAGCAAAGCTGTTTCTTGTTTTTGCCTCCTGTTGTAAATTTGCTGTGCTGCTCATTCCCAGCTGCCAAAACAGCATACCCATATGTAGAAAAAAAAAAATACCTAAGTGTATGAAAAGGTGTTAGAATGCCCTATATTTTATTTTCTAGTCTCCCACTTTTGTATTACTGTGTATAATGGTGAATCTGGTGATGTGGTGGTGGTCAGAATGGATGAACTACTTCAGAGGAAAATGTATAAATGAAGTCAGGCCAGAATACCGTTCAGATGAATGGATGGAGAAAGATAAAAAGGCTCAGAGCTAAATCTCTCTTAGCATAGAAGATGATCAAATCATACATATATGTAAGTGTGAAACTGCTAAAAGCTAATGTCAGCAATAAACTGTATTTGATTAAAAAGCTATACTAAACCAAGCTGATGAAATGCTGGGATATAAATGAGTACACAAGGCACACTGTGGAAATGACTGAACAGCTGAGACGTGGAGGAGAAGAAATAAAAGACTTATGTGTTGCAGCACTACTACTTAGTGGTTTACCAGAAAGTTATGAAATGCTTGTCACAGTACTTGATGCACACCCAGATGATGAACTGACATTGGAATATGCTAAGAAAAAAAACTTGTGGATGAATATAAGAGTAAAACAGAAAGCATTAATAGTGATGGTGCTTGTGTCACATACTGTAGTTTTCTTTAAAGACGAAAAATAGGAATAAAAACAGTAACATGCAACAAGAAAAACGTGAATACTTTGTGTGCAAGAAGCAAGGTCATTTAAAAGCAGATTGCAGAATCTGGAAAGCTACAATGCAAAAACAACCTAAACTACAAAAGGTCAAAAGTATGAAGGAAGAAATAAAATTTTTCTTCAGATAATGAATATGTTTTTTGATCCAAAAGTTTCTTCTCACCTTTTCAGGCATGGTGTGTTGACTCAAGAGCTACGAGTTATGTGACAAATAACATAAATTTCTTTTTTCACCTTGACCAGAATAAAACAGAAAAAATCAGCAGAGCTAATGGGCAAATAATGGAATCAGAAGGAATAGATGGCAGTTTACTGTTTTATTTCCCAGAGTGTCACCAGAAAGATACCTGTGGAAAATGCCCTGTATATCCCCGCTCTTGAAACTAATCTCTTCTCCGTGAAGAAGCTCACAAAACAAGGGAATGTAGTAACCTTCCAAGATGACAGTGCCATCACAAAAGGGGATATCTTACTTGCAAAGGCTAAAATTATGGATGAACTGTATCAGCTGAACTGCAATGAAGAGGTTAATACTGCCAATAAGGAAAATCATTCAAACTGCATTCACACGTGGCAGAGATGACTTGGGCACAGAAGTCCAACATAAAGAAATTAACTGAGAATGACTATGCAAGTGGAATTAAAATTAGTCCATGTGATCAAACAATGAAATGCACAAGTAATATATAATGAAAAATGACAAGAAAAACCTTTCCAAAGCAAATGTAACAGCAGAACTAAGAAACCTCTGGACTTTATTCATTCAGATCTTTGCGGTCCATTGGAAAAATTGACTCCAGGAAAGAAGAGGTATTTTCTCACTTTTATAGATGATTATTCCAGGTATACTACATTATAGAACAGTATTTGGCTGAAGTAAGCAACAAATTTGGCAAAATGCTGAGTGTATTCTCAGAAAGCATTGCATAATATTTCAAACTACTGTCCCATACAACCCAGAACAAAATGGGGTTGCAGAAAGAATGAACCTTACTCTATGTGAGAGTGGAAGAACCAGGCGTTTGATGCAGATATACCAACCACATACTGGGGGGAGGCAATTGTGACCCATGCTATCTCCAAAATCAGCTACCAGAAAAATCAACTGAAAAAACTCCATATGAATTGTGGAATGAAAAGGCCCAGACTTTCCACCATCTAAAAAATTTTTGAGGTGAAGCCTATGTACACATCCCAAAAGAAAAACATACAAAAAAGAATGCTTACCCAAAGGAAGGTTTACATGTGAGGTACAGTGAATCTCAAAAAGAATACAGAATTCTACACCAAGATACAAACAAGGTAATCTTTAGCAGAAGTGCAATTGTTGATGAAACTGCAGTGTGTTCAAAATTTCATGAACTAACAAAAAAAAAAGCTTCATACTGAGGAAAATTCCACATCAATGTCACATGAAGATAAACAAAGTAACACAGAAATAGAAGTTAAGGCAGACAATTCAAATGTTTTCAAAGAAGAAACCAGGCCACAAGAGGCTTCAATCAGAAAATCCACCAAAAGCAAAAAAGGCATCCCAGCCTTTTCTATGTTGCTTGCATAGCATTAAAACCAGAGCCAGATTCATGGGATGGAATGCAAAGACTTCCAACCCTTGAGAAATCAAAATGTATCAGATGCTTTGAAAAATGCTTACAAGAAACAGATTTATAGAACTAACATCAGAAATGAGACAAAATAGGGAGTACTTATACTCATATGAGCTCAGGAGTGCATATTGTTTAGAAAACAGAGCTCAGGAGTGCTTGTTGCACAGGTCTCAGGGCTCAGGAGTGTGTAGCACACAGGGCACAGGTCTCAGGAGTTCTTATTGTAGAGGACGCAGTGCTCAGCGGTGTGTATTGACCAGTGCTCAGGAGTGTGTGTATTGTGCAGTGCTCAGGAGTGCGTATCACAGAGGGCGCAAAGCTCTGGAATAGGTACCACAGTGTACACCCAAAAACTAGCATCCCCCTACTCCCTTCCTGTAGAGCTTTCCTCCCAACCCCCCCCCCCCCCCCCAGTACAGGTTTCCCACTCCAATACCCCCAATGAAGAAGAGATACATTTTCCTCTACTGTATAATCTGCATTCTTTTATTTTTTTTGGAGGATCATTTGTCTGCAAAGTGCACAGAATGTTGGCTCAGTCAGAAACAATAACACTCCCAAAATCCCTTAAAATCCCATGTTATCAAAATCTGTGACTCCCTGCCAATAAATTCCCCATCAAAGTAAATTTTGGGTCCAATCAGCTCAAAATAGAGAAGAGAATTTGAATTATTTAGTCAAATTCTTATTGATGGGCTCGATCGTGGAGAAATCACGCAATTTCAAGTAGTTGTGTTCTTATTTAATTCTAGTAATTTGAATACATAATGAGAAAATACTGTATGTGCAAGTTAAAAAAAACAACTGCACCAGAAGTAAACTAAATAACATGCAACATTCGAGAAATATAGTGTGATTTATGTTTGTTTCACATATTTTGCTTTATTTTGGTATAATTGATTGCTGTGTTCAGTACCGCAAAGAAACCAGACAAAAAATTCCACTGGTCTGGGCAATGGAGACTGCAATCTAATAGACTGATGTGATTTGGTGCATTTTGTAAATCTTAGTTACTTTCTACAATGTCATTATGACCAAGCCTGGTTTGTGATAAAAAAACAGAAAATAAAAGTGAAATACAAATGGTCAGAGAATGGTTAGGAAAAAGGCAGGGGAAATGGACAGAGACAAAAGTTACATTGTTCACACATTTATGTAAGAAGGGTAAAAAGGAGAAGTTAAATTATACTAAGCTGTGTTTTTCAGGAATGATTATGAAGAGCTTGCTCAGAAGTGTAAGACCTTTGCAAAGGACTTGCTGGCTCAGGCTAGGAACTCAAGGGAACTCGAAGTGATCTTGAATCATCAGTCTAGTGATGAACCGGTGGACAAAAGGGGGCTTCTAGAGGAGCGCATGAATCTGAGCCGACTGAAGCTGGCAATCAAGTACAATCAGAAAGAGGTAGGTCCACAATCATTGTAAACAGTCAATTTTAAAATTAGATATTGACAAAATGGCAACAATTTCTTAAAACAGATCTAAACTCTAGTTAATACAGTCAGGTCCATAAATATTGGGACATCGACACAATTCTAACATTTTTGGCTCTATACACCACCACTATGGATTTGAAATGAAACAAACAAGATGTGCTTTAACTGCAGACTGTCAGCTTTAATTTGAGAGTATTTACATCCAAATCAGATGAACAGTGTAGGAATTGCAACAGTTTGCATATGTGCCTCCCACTTGTTAAGGAACCAAAAGTAATGGGACAGAATAATAATCATAAATCAAACTTTCACTTTTTAATACTTGGTTGCAAATCCTTTGCAGTCAATTACAGCCTGAAGTTTGGAATGCATAGACATCACCAGACGCTGGGTTTCATCCCTGGTGATGCTCTGCCAGGCCTCTACTGCAACTGTCTTCAGTTCCTGCTTGTTCTTGGGGCATTTTCCCTTCAGTTTTATCTTCAGCAAGTGAAATGCATGCTCAACCGGATTCAGGTCCGGTGATTGACTTGGCCATTGCATAACATTCCACTTCTTTCCCTTAAAAAACTCTTTGGTTGCTTTTGCAGTATGCTTTGGGTCATTGTCCATCTGCACTGTGAAGCGGCGTCCAATGAGTTCTGAAGCATTTGGCTGAATATGAGCAGATAATATTGCCCGAAACACTTCAGAATTCATCCTGCTGCTGCTTTTGTCAGCAGTCACATCATCATTAAATACAAGAGAACCAGTTCCATTGGCAGCCATACATGCCCACGCCATGACACTACCACCACCATGCTTCACTGATGAGGTGGTATGCTTAGGATCATGAACAGTTCCTTTTCTTCTCCATACTCTTCTCATCCCATCACTCTGGTACAAGTTGATCTTGGTTTCCTCTGTCCATAGGATGTTGTTCCAGAACTGTGAAGGCTTTTTTAGATGTCGTTTGGCAAACTCTAATCTGGCCTTCCTGTTTTTAAGGCTCACCAATGGTTTCCATCTTGTGGTGAACCCTCTGTATTCACTCTGGTGAAGTCTTCTCTTGATTGGTGACTTTGACACACATACAGCTACCTCCTGGAGAGTGTTCTTGATCTGGCCAACTGTTGTGAAGGGTGTTTTCTTCACCAGGGAAAGAATTCTTCGATCATCCACCACAGTTGTTTTCTGTGGTCTTCCGGGTCTTTTGGTGTTGCTGAGCTCACCGGTGCGTTCCTTCTTTTTAAGAATGTTCCAAACAGTTGTTTTGGCCACGCCTAATGTTTTTGCTATCTCTCTGATGGGTTTGTTTTTTTTTTCAGCCTAATGATGGCTTGCTTCACTGATAGTGACAGCTCTGTGGATCTCATCTTGAGAGTTGACAGCAACAGGTTCCAAAAGCAAATAGCACACTTGAAATGAACTCTGGACCTTTTATCTGCTCGTTGTAATTGGGATAATAAAGGAATAACACACACCTGGCCATGGAACAGCTGAGAAGCCAATTGTCCCATTACTTTTGGTCCCTTAACAAGTGGGAGGCACATATGCAAACAGTTGTAATTCCTACACCGTTCACCTGATTTGGATGTAAAGACCCTCAAATTAAAGCTGACAGTCTGCAGTTAAAGCACATCTGTTTGTTTCATTTCAAATCCATTGTGGTGGTGTATAAAGCCAAAAATGTTAGAATTGTGTCGATGTCCCAATATTTATGGACCTGACTGTATATATGAAATTACATCAACATATAACTCAAGGCAAAAACTTTGTTTTTTTGTTTTGAATAGAGTGAAGAGGGACTAGAACATCTGTCAGGTTGTTCTTGCTGTCTGTGGGCTGTCACGAGAAAAAAAAATGCAGGGACATCCCTGGTGACAACCATGGATGATGGAGGGATTTCCCTTTACTTCTTGTTCTGGCTAAGGAACAAAATGTGAAGGGAAATCTCCCCAATGATACACAGATGGCAAAAACCTGACAGTGGATATAACCCTACCTTACTCTATACAACCTGAAAAAAAAATGTGCTATTAGTTCTACTTTAATGTGTAAAGGCTCATATGAGATTGGTGATTGGGTTTATATCTATTTTAGCCAAGTATTATTATACAGGATTTGCGTGTGCTTTACAACATAAGGGCAGACAGTACAGTTACAATACAATTAAATACAGTAGGAATTAGGGGGCCCTGCTCATTAGAGCTTACAATCTAAAAGGGAGGATCAAGACAGAAAAGGTAATAACTGTGGGGTATGAAATATAACATGGGGAGGGGGGATTAAAACATTTACCGGTACCTCTTAAAAAGAAAAATAAAGTGCATTGTGAATAAGTACATATTTTGACTTGTTTTTATAACATACTGTACAGTATTAACAAAGTACTTTTTGCAATTTTCTGCACTGCTACACTCTGTATTTTGGTTACTGCACTTTATATACAGACACAAAAGCTCCCTCTAGTAGCTATCTATACTGTATATCAAGGATATTAAAGATAATTTCTGCTTAAAGTGTATGTCAGGGAAAGAAAACATATGTAGTACATCTCTACAATATATGCACATTTCCCATGTTTTATCCCTTTGAAAGCCCTGCAATTACAGAAAAATACTCATTGATTCTGCCAGAAATGCACTTAGCTCCTAATTCCTTCCTGTGGTCTGACAATACATAGCATTTTGTGGACTGCAAGAAATGGTGTCAGTCCTAAATTATCTGAAATAAGCATGCAGCAAATAAAGTCAAACTGAAGTCAGAGCTCTTGATTTACGTACTGTATATGCTTACTATGGTGTCTAGGAAAGTATTGACGTTTTAGATTAGCATAACAGCCAGGCAACAACATTTTCAGAAGGAAAGGCCGTCGATGACTGCCACCATATTCCTCTACCATAGATTTCAATGAATGACTGATTTTGCTTTGTTAATTTTTTAACAACTCTTGTTTTCAGTAAACCCAAACCTGACTCTTAGCGCTAAGATACAACGGCTCAATTCTGCTACTAAAATGGCTTGAGAATAATTGCTAGATGTAGCATTAAATAGATGGAACTGAGGACCCATTCATGCAATTGTAGTGCTACCCCCATAGGAGCTGCTTGTATCTTGCCCAGGCTTTCCTCTAGAAGCCAGGTGCACACACAGTGTCCACTCATTAATGCAATGTTCAGTCTAGAGGTTGTAGTTTTTGTTGTTTTTATTTTGTTTTAGAAATGGGAAAGAGAAGGGATATAGTGGAATACTTTGAATTGAATGATGCACAATGGACAGCTTTCTCTAAATTGATCTGTGTAGCAGACTGTACAAAGAATTGAGCAAAGTCCCTCTGTAGAAATGCAGAACTTAGTGGACAGTTGCTCTTCTGGCCACCAGCTGGTGTTCCCTCTAGCTTACACCCAGCAGCTGACTATGTGGGTCCCAAGGGGTTTAAACAGCACAAGATCCAGCATCCCTGTAGAACAGTCTTGCTGCATGTCACCTTCCTCCGTGACACCAGACAGCATCTGTAGACATCCCCCTCAGTCAGCTCTCAAAAGCACCCTGGGTTTCAGCATTCTGACTCTTGGGTCGCTGAGGCCTCCTGGAAGCATAAGCCAGAGGAGGCAGCTACTTCCCTGGCTGTAACTCCCTTCCCAGAGGAAAAGGAAGAAGCACTCAGATCACATGTGCTCACTGAATATAAATACTAGAACCCAGCATGCTCATGGGCACTACTCCCTGTATTTGGCTGGAACTGCATCCATATTAATGCTGCTGATCTGAATGGGTCACTCCTGTTCACCCAGAACCTTCCAAGGTTGCCTGGATACAGAAGAGCCAATCACAGCAGCACTGTGAACCACACAGGATATCCTCACTAAACAACTAGTTTTTCTATTAAGCAGAAAAGTTGCTATGTTTTGCCTGCCAGTCTCTTGTTAAGCAGGAGACCACACTATACTAAACTAGACTATGTACATCCTAGCAACCTACCTAAGAGGGTGCTACACAATTGCACCACAGTATATCTGGTTGGTGATTTGCATGTGTTGGGCAGTTTTGTTAAATATGAATTCTAGGGTCTATTTATACTTTGATGTTTTTGTGTGTTGTGTTAATGCACATCGGGGGAGATTTACCGAAACTGGTACACTCAGAATCTGTTGCAGTTGTGCATGGTAACCAATCAGCTTCTAACTTCAGTTTGTTCAATTAAGGTTTGACAATAAAACCTGAAAGCTGATTGGTTTCTGTGATGGACTGCCTGGCACACCGCTGGAGTGCTTCCGTAAGAGAACTGCTTCCTCGCTGCTGGGACACAGGACCAAGGTATTATAGCTGGGCATTTTACCCAAGGACTAGATGACACTAGCTTAGGTGAAGCTGGAATTGCTTATTGAACAAAAATACAGGTTTTTATACACTTCATAAATATGGGCAGTCCCCACATGAACAATGAAACAAACATTACACATTGGGATAAACATCCCACACTGATTAGGTATTGAGGTCTAATTAACACCAGACTAATTCCATCATGTAGGAACCTCCAGGAGGACTAGCTAACAGACAGAAACAATAGGTGACTCGATTAACTCAATTAACAAGGGAACAAATGCACAACAAAAAAACACATTACACCTAATAAACAGATTACAGCAAGAGACCTCGGCATCAGGTTGTTTCAAGCTGATTATACTAACATCTGCTTAGAGTCTCTGAGTCTAGGAGAGGGGATTGAAGCAGTCAATGCTGATTTGGGCACAGAGACCCCAAATCTGTATCCTGGTCCTCCAGATCTCTGAATCCAAAGTAAAAAGCCCCCCAGGGAACACATCCCCCAAAGAATAGAGCCCCATGGTCAGCAGGCAAGAGGCAGTTTTTATGCACAACTGCACCAGATTTTGCACGCTCCCATTTTAGTAAATGTTACATGTTAACCTGTGTTACATTAAGACAGGGTATTCATTTTAAATAGGTTGCCAATGCACAAGAATGCACTTTTTTCTGACACACAGTAGTGCATTACCTTGCATTATGATGCACTTAAATGCATTTGTATTAAGCTGTGTTGCCTTCATGTGTTTTGGTAACCATCCAAAATGGACAGCACCGCAATATGCTAAGACATGTAACATGCACTGCATCGCAAAAGTATGTTTCAACCCTTAGACATTGGACCTGTAGTTTTCTTGCTTCTGGTTGCCTCTTATATATATATATTTAAGTCTATTTCTTTTTCTTTTTTCAGTTCGTATCTCAGTCCAACTGTCAGCAGTTCCTCAACACTGTCTGGTTTGGGCAAATGGCAGGCTATAGGCGAAAACACACGTGCAAGAAAATACTAATTGTCCTCACTGTGGGCATATGCTGGCCAGTTCTGTCTCTGTGCTATCTCTTTGCCCCCAAGTCACAGGTTGGACGTATGATCCACACACCTTTCATGAAATTTATCATACATGGGGCCTCTTACTTCACATTCCTGCTGCTTCTCAACCTGTATTCCTTAGTCTACAACGAGGACAAAAAGAACACAATGGGGCCAGCATTAGAGAGAATTGACTATCTGCTCATCATATGGCTCATTGGTAAGTAGAGTATGGACATTAGTAAGGCAATGACATTTTTTTTTTCATTTTGGATAGAGTAAGGGGGTTATAAACCATGTTTTTGCAATCTATGTCCTGTAGGGAAGATTTCCCTTCATTTCCTGTCTCATAGCGACAACAGGATATGAAAGGAAATCCCTCCAATGTAAGGGAATCCCAGGGTATCACCAGAGTTATCAGAACTAGTGTCCCCAATGGAAAATTTCCCCTCTATTACTGTTCTGGTGTCAACCCCAAATTTGGGATTTTTTTTTTACTTTCACTTTTGGTGAAAATGGGTGTAGCACTACCCCCTTAGGAGTTTCTGAGTATTTTTGGTCCCCTGTTCACTCTGAGCCTGATTTGGAGCACAGCCCATGATGACACCACCATATACCCTTGGCCAGGAAAACCCTCTGGCTGTAAAACACAAAATAATCACACAGTTTAAGGTGAACCATTGTTCGGATTGTATTAAAGTTAGAGTAAAACTAATGCAAGCACAAAAGAAGCAATGGTAGGTGTGTACAAAAGATAAGCACTCTGGAAAATATAGTCAACAGGAACATACACGTTAGACCAAATTGTCCTGCAGGACCAGAGTTTAAACATTAATTGCAGCACATTTCTGTCCAGCATGGTTATTTCCCAAAGTGAGCTGAAATAGAGTATACAAATAAGTTGGGCTAACTTACTTATGGGTTCTCAAGACTAAAAACAGGGTTTAACTCTGAAGATGAATTTGAATGTAATATCTTCCCCTCTAGCATCACTACCAAGTATAGAACCAGATTCTTCTGCACGCCTGATGGGTCCCTAGTTGGTGCACATTAGAGTTGAAGTCCTCTTGGATGGAAACATGATCTCCTAAAAAGGGTACAGTACTAAAAGAAGTTCCTCTTAGACTGGTTGTAAAAAAATTGGGGAAGGTCCCTTTAACACAGAAGATGAATGCAAGAATTGTTAAAGTTAAGAAAGAGGCAGGAGTAAACTTCAGTAGAATTGAATCCCTATAGGTGGTGAATTAGCCTGACAAAGCAAGTTCCTTTACAACTGGAAGAGGTTTGAGATGAGATACTAACAGTATTTCTGCCTGCAAAGACACACGTGCAGCAGCAAGAGTCCTGCATTCAGAGCAATGGGGAGACACTAAAACAGTAGTAGTAGTATTATTAGTAGTAGTATAGTAGTAGTAGTAGTAGTAGTAGTAGTATTGCATGGGCTAGGAAGTCTGTGTCTCAAAGTGGCAAACTGATGAAAGATGTACGGAACTGAACCAACTGAAAACAACAGAATCATTTATAACGTGTGACAGTCTGGGTTATGTTACCCTCTCACCCAGTATGTAATGTTAGCAGAGCGAAAGATGGTCTCTCGGTTGGGGGCCCCCTTGTTCTCTTGATCCCACTGAGGAAGAAACAATGACGATCCCACAATCCCCCTGCCTGCAGAGTTGACTCTCCTACTTCTCATCGATACCAGCAATCTGTAGCCCCTCTTTCTGGCTCTCCGGAGTGACCAACTCTGGCCTGGGTCCCTCACTAGCTTCTCACACACATCCTCACCCTCTCGCAGTCTCCTTACTTCCTCCCCAGGAAGCTCCCAGGCTTTGATTATATAGGTTCTCGCCAACTCTTCTGGGAAATGTAATCTGTTTTAGCTTGTCCTGGTACAGAATTCCTGCTGTCAGCACACATGTTCAGCAATGCTTTTCTATATTAAAATTAGACTGTAATAATGAAACTGCAGAACACTACCATCTTGAGATTATTTAACATCCTACAATCACTAACTGCAGTGTGTTACAATGGTAAATGGGACAAATAGAGAGGGTCAATCTTCCTACTGGGGGCATAGACAGCAGTAAAACCTGACAGGTGTTCTAATCCTTCCCCACTCTATCCAAAAAGAAAAAAAAGTTTTGTATTTAGTTACACTTTAAGACTTGATGCTTTGAGTTTATGATCGCTATGATCTTATGATCTATAAAATTACTGTTCCTGATGTTTGAGGTTTTTGAAAAATATAAATTGGAAAAGTACATTATATGCTCTGGACTGGTTTATAGCTTTGATCCCAGAAAGAGATTTTTGAGTAATAGTATCCAAAAGTAATATAATGATAAATAAATATATACTGTATATATTGTATATCAGAGAACATTGCTGACTGGGGGACAATGTACAATGTGTTTTGTCTGTAAGGCTAGGTTCACATCTCCGATTTTTCTGTGGATCCACAGTGGCACCACCTGCACAGATGTGAACAAAGGGTAAAAGAATCTCTGTATGGCTCTCTAATATGGCTACAGAAGAGATATTAAAAAAGGAAGGAAGGCGAAGGCTGTCCAGTGACATCAGTATAGTTAGCTGTCTCTTTCTGAATTGTCAAAGAAATGAGTTATTATGGAGCATGGTGTACTTTCCTCAGGATACTTCAAAGTGATGGGTATATGCTGAGCTTTCATGTTTGTCTAAATGCTCCAAATTAGGGCTTTGTTAAAAAAAAGTATCTATTGACTGAAACTTAGTTCATATCATTTAATTTGGTGATAAAGTTTAATTGTTTGTTTTCCATAGCAATCAATTAGCTGGATGTTTTGATAAATAAATCCTCTGTAAGCAAAGTGTAGTAACACACCAGTGTGTGTGTATGTGTGCGTGTGTGTGTGTGGGGGGTGTGTTAATAGAACTGAGTAGTGACAGGTATAGCTTTTCATTTATAGAAACTATAGTACAGCTTCTATGAATGGATAAGCTGGGTGGAAAGGGCAGGTATATTGGGCATTCTTGATGAGTGCCTGGCACAGCTCCTTCAACTCTATTAACCCCTACCTCACTTGAAAATTATGGTGGTGGGGGTAAGGGGGATCAGATGAGAAAGATTTTTACTACACCAGGAGACAGCAGCACAAGGGACACATAACACTGATAGTAAGTAACAGCAGTTGTGCTGATTTTTTTTACTTAGGCTTTAACCCCTTCTCGCTGCCACCTCCCGGCCATTTAAGAGGTTCTAAATCTCAGGATGAGGGGACCGGGCATTCTGATCATGTGACAGTTGTGATTGGTCACATGGTCAGAAAGCTTCCAATTACAAGTATGCAGTGGGAGCTTTCTGGTACTTGCCGCTAACTGTGCTGGGAGTGTGCAGGGAGTGCACTCCCAGCACAAAAACATGTTTACATAGGGAGCCATATATGCCACCACTCGGTGTTAAAGCCCACCCGCCGAGAGACCGCATTTATGCGTATCTCTGGTGGAAACTGGTTAAAATTATCTGAAATATCAATCTGCACTTGCCCACAATTATTTTGATTTGCCCTACAAAAATAGCATCTGGAGCCTGAATATGTTTCTGCTGACAGAACTTACACAAACACTGATGTCTTCCACTTTTCTAAATTACTAATCCACTTTTCTTCACCAAACAGCATTTATGCAACAAAGAAATTAAAGATAGTTAAGTAATATCCAACAACCGTGCTCCTGGACTAAGTACAATGCACTGTCAAGGTTGCTTCATGGGCTGCAAGTTCAGATTACAACTAAAAAAGCCCTTTTGAGAGCTAGAGCCAGTTTACACATTTGCAAATTGGTTGTGTTTTGAACCACATCCAATTTTCAGGACATGTGAAAGAACATTGCTTTCTATTGTGCTCGTTCACATAGGTCTGGTGCAGCCGGAGTGTGGATTCAGTGCGGATTGAAAAAGAGTCCTGACAGTTTTCTGAACAGTGCAGTCTGGCTCAGATATGAATTCAGGTTCATCGACTTCTCTGGGAAAGCTTCTGAATCGCACATTCAGTTGTTAACAGGATAAAAACCTGACTTGATCCTTATGTAAACCTGACTTGATCCTGATCTAAAATGTACCTTAAATGCTGAACAACTTCTTTGTCAATTAGCTTTGAAAATGGAGCTTCAATTTGCACTGCACATGTATGAATCCACACTTGATGGAACTTGCGAAGTTATAGAAATGGGAGATGCAATTACTGACTTGTTGTTGAAGATGAATAATCCAGGACTGTCATTCTTAGCTTTCCTTCATTGTTTTTTCACTATTGTATTGGGACATTTGATATGTTCCCCTTCTCTACAGGTCAATAACTTTTTTCTTTTCAATATGTTTTATTTTGTTTTGTTTTAAAGAGAGATACAAATACATTTCACAGATTGATGCCCAATAGCTGAGCAACCAATATATCAACAAAAAAAAAATGATCATATCAAAAATGGTACAAACAGCAAGGTGGCAGGGTCCGTGATTGGTCAATATAGCAAAACAGTGAAAGAGATAGCAGCCATAAGGCTGATACAATTGATTGACCTGGTTGACAGACATGACATCTCTTCAGTTATGGCAGCTTAGGTTCTTCTAGAAAGAGAAACAAGATGAGAAATAAGAAGAGAAAAAAGGAGGAAAAGAGCAGGGGAGAAGCAGGAGAGGAGTGGGAGGAGGGGTGTGATGAAGGGAGTGTCCAGAGCACCTAGGGGGCCACTTATGTGGCTCTCAGGCTAGCTAAGTAAATAGTTGGATGTTGGTAATGTGAGCCATAGGCTCCAGATTTTAGGAAATTTTGCATTAGTGTTAGTAAGATTACTAGTCAATTGCTCATTAAGAAAAATACCATCAAGGCAGGATTCGACTTCTGAAAAATGGGTGAATTGCTTCCTCCACGCCTTAGCGATTGTGAGTTTACAAGCTAGCAGAACAAAGTGGACCAACTGAAATTGGCATTTAGTAATGTTCAGGGGTTTAAAATGTAGGAGGGCCAGCCAAGGGTCTTTAGTAAGTGGCGTTCCAAGTAGTGAACGCAACTGCGAGAAGACCCTGGACAAGAACTGGCCCAGCATAGGGCAGGTCCACCAAATATGAAGAACATCACCAGGGGTCAATTACTTTTTTATGTAGTAAAAAAAGGTAAGTATGACATAACCAGATTTTTTACCTTTAAAAAAATTCTCTCTCTGATCCCTTAGGGCATATAAGTTTAA